TGTGACAATGTCCACATGGCTGGTCCCATGGACAGAATAGCCCTTACCTCTATAGTTATGTGTCTACTGAACCTGGCCCAGCCTGAGAAAACCATACCCATACCCATATCCATACCCATACCTATGCTCATACCATACCTCCTGCACACTCATACCCATATCTGTACTCGTACCCATACACATACCTCCCTCATACGCAGCTTAACTGGAGTTCAGACCCTTCCTGCAATCCCTTAGGCCATGCTATTTGCTCCAGTCAGGTCTTGCATGGCCAGGTGGGTAGGTGGCCATGCACCAAACGGTGGAGGGGAGCTGGTTGGTGAGCTCTGTATCTTCAGGGCACAACTGGGACCCTCAGGGTACTGCCTGGGCTTTCATCAGACAGGCAGCAGGCACAGAACAGGAACATGGAGCAGCCTGTTATCTTACTACTACGGTTTAAGCCCAAAATGTCAGTGCACATTGCCCATCACCCAGTCCATCTTCATTTATTCTTCTGAGACGTCAGAACCCATAGAGAAGCTTGCACAAAATCTGTACGGATGGGAGCAGGCTTTGTGCCCAGGCAGAGTGCTGTGTGTCATTTGATATAGCATTTCCAGAGGAACAAATGACTGAACCAATCCGATGGATTCTGGTGCCTGACTTTTAGGGAAAATATTCAGGCACATTCTTCTTGCAACATAAAAAACATTTCCTCTGTGCTGTGAGATTATCTAAATAAGCCACATCAACCCTTCCTAATCAGAGAGATGTGGTGTTATTTTTTAAACCTGCCAAAAAATTTTAAGCCAAGTGGTGTGGGATATTACGGTTACAGGGCCTCATAAGAGTTATTTGTCTCCGTTTAATTTATTAAATATTCCTAGACATACCCTTAGGATGACAGATCAATAAGTGCCTTTGCGGTTTCCTGATAGAAGGCAGCAATTATTTTTTTCCATTACAATATAAGCCTAACCCAATTTCATTCATCTATCATGTGCGTAACGGTAATAAAGAAGCATCACCATGTGTTTATTCTACTGTCACTTTATCTTTTGTTTTGGTGATCTTCTGTTTTCATTTCATGTTCTTTCGACTGTTTGTGCCTTTCATTTGACGGGAGTGGCGACCAGTTTGTCTTGCTTTAGGACACTTGTTGGGAACGTGGTGGCAAAAGCCTCTCTGTGGTTTCTCTTTTCCTGTAAAGTGAATGGACTACTTTAGTCTTTCACCTGAACGTACCTGTAGAAGAAATAAAGCCACAGGAACTTCACAAAACTGAATTTGGATTTCATTTTTAGAGGTGCTTTTCCATGAAAGTCCATAGTGATTGAAATTGGGTATTAGAGGAGAATTGAGTTAACAACTGTTTAGCACACAGGAGGCACAGAAAGGCTAAACAAAGCCCATAAGATCATGATCTGACTAATGACAATTAAAATGTATAGTTCATATTGTCAAGGCTAAACTCAACCTATCTTCGTCACTTGCAGAATCACATTTAATCCATGATAGAGGTGCACACTACTGGACCATGTCGGCAAATGAAGTAAGCAGCATTTGTCTCCTCATCTAAGTATGCCTCTGCTTTCAGGAGTACCACACCAGAGCTGATAGTGACTATGACCAAATAAACTCTGTCCAGTTTGGGCTTCACTGGGGGTGAGATTCCTAAACAGTGATTCAAAACCCTCCACAGCAGCTACACTTCAGATATCTTTGTCCTGACTTGGGCAATAAAACCCCTCTACTGTGACTCCAATTTTTTCTTTTAATTCAAAGCCAGTTCTCTTTCCTCCCTGCTGTCATTGAAGTGCCAGCCAGCTCTTCACTGAAGGAAATTATTAGGAAGTGCTAACTGGTCACAGCTCCACTGAGGTACATCTGATATCAATCAGATGCACCATTGGACTCACTTTTCCTAACCCTGACTTCAGTGAGCCCAGGCTTTGGCTTATTATGTGTTTCACTTAAACACAACTTGAAATGTTTTATTTATTTTGATTTTATAAAGTTTTCCATGAGCACTGGAATAAGTGAAGCACAGTTGTGTCCGGATTTATATCTTGTGGTTGGTTGACTTTGCTGTCCAACTGAGATCTGACAGAGACTTTTCCCATGGGTGAGCAATACCTGCTTTGGTCTCTCTGAGTCCTTCTGATGTTTATAAAGGGGCTCCTTACACTTCATCAGTCTCCACAGCCTGTGTATATATTGCATCTGTCTCTGGATTCACATCTTTAGGATTTTTTTGTCGTTCAGGTTGTCAGGACAACTAACAGAAAGACAGGCATACAATAGCATGACCACATAAACTTCTTTCCTTTAGGAAACAAGGCTTAAAACGACCAAATTTTGTCAACTTCATCAGGATGAGTTGAAGTATTTTTTTTAAATGCTATAAATATGAGAATAACGGGTTGAGGAAGTGTTTTGGATGCTTTATTCTGGTTTATTTTGGTCTAATTCTACCTTTAGAAGCCTCATACTAAACAGTCCTGAGGGACAGCCACTTAAAAAGATGGACTACCCAAAGTCCAACGAAATTATGTACAATTGTCTTGTGGGAGTTTTTTTGATAACATGAAATGGCCTTCATCAATCAGACTGTAACTGTAAATTATCAGATAGCACTCCTTTGCAAACGTTGCTAAAGGCTCATTTTTCTTTTTAATGTTGAAGTTAGTGGTATACCATATTCACTGCTGTACTGTTTTCACTGTCCTATGGCTTAATCTCACAGTGGTCAGTGCCTTTCACTTGCATCAGTGGTCTGTGGTTTCATCCTTTCAACATCAAAGAGAAAGATCATCTTGGCTACATTACAAAAAGCAAGTTTTAAATTTTGCCAAAATAAACTGTGACAAACTCTCACAGTTTATAAAAGCTTTCTTTTAAGTTGAAGGTGAATTACAAAGGGAAAAAATGGGTTATGCCCTTATGTACGTTTTTATAATGTACAAAAAAGGGCCTAAGAAGAGTTGAGAGGTTTGGGATTCTTTTTCTTTTTTTTTTTTTTATTTTATCTTCAGCAAAATCAAGCAAGACCCGAGCTGACACTTCTGACACAAGCATAAGCAAAAGATATAATGGATTTTCCTTCTTCTGCCTGTTCCTTCCCTTCCTTCACCTTCCAACCTTGCAGGTTTGTTTTACACACCTGAGGAAAACAAGTGTATAAAGGATGCTCGGCAAATTCTCACCAATCTTTTTGGCCAATTGAAACCTGAAAACACTCGCAGGACACTTTTCATTGGAGCCTTAATGAGTCCTCTGGAATAAAGCAAAGGAAATGGAATGGCAAAGCTTGACGGTCTTGATATTTCAGAGTTAAGCAAACAATCAGGACAAAAATTTCTGACTGCCTTTATGCCACTTAAAGGAACCACAAGAAATCACAGAAACATTTTTCCCTTTATCAATTTAATGTAGCAGAAATCAGAGTTCTGATGACATTTCTTGAAAATGGGCAACTATAATAAACCGTCTGCAGTATAAGACATTCAGTTCTGATATGCAAAGCAGCAGCAGACTCTGGAAAAGCTTTTGAAACAGGAAAGTACTTCCCAGCATGTGAAAAGTGGCAAATTATTCTGTCAATATTTTAATGGTATACTTTGCTATGAAAAGATCACCTTATGAAACGGGTGTACAGGCAAGAGCAGAATGAGATAAGTTAAAGGCCACGAGCTTTAAAGACAGTCACTCACAAATAAAATGTCCCAGGAATAAGGGGAAAAAAGTACTTTCAGAGAAGAACAATGTTCATTGTTAAAAATGAACTGAAAAATGAAAAAAAAAAAAAGAAGAGGATATTAGGACCTGAAATGAAAAACTAGGACAGCAATAACACAGTAAAGAAAGATAAGAAGTTACCATGCCGTATGTTTGCTAACTTCCTTTTAGTTCTTGAAAATTGCCTTTTCCCCTCAAAAAAGTGAATAAAATACTATGTCTGTTGTGGCTGGGGGGTCAGCATCCACTGGCAATGCCTACATCTGTGTTGAACACCTGGAGCCTGCGATAAGCAGTTGTGCCCCCAATGCCCAGGCTGTTGCGGTGATGCTCAGGCTCCACCTCAGTGCATGTTCCCACTACCGGGCAGAAGCCACAGCAGCTCTGTAACGGACGCTTTTCCCTGGACCACCCCGGTCTCACCCTGGCAGTGGAGAGCAGCCCTTTTCTTTCATGCAAGAGGCTCCCACCTCCAACCGGGGTGTGTGCCAGCACCCTGTCCTGCACCCTGTGCTGGGCAGCGGGGCTGAGGGGGGGGTGGGTCTTCTGGTAGAAGGGTGATGAACACCTGTGGTTCCCACTTTCACCGGGAGCCATCCCAACAACGAGGCGATCCCATCCAGCCTCAAAAGCAGGTTGAGCTGTTACTCCATCCTGACACAGGACTCATCCTGGCTGGTGAGGCTGAGCAGAGCCCTGTCACAACGGCTCTGGCCCTGCTCAGACACTTCTGTCATTAAGAAAACTGATTTCAGTGAGACCGTTTATGTATTGAGCATGAGTAATTGTATTACAATCTGGTTCTTCATGGCATGTTCCAAACCAGCTCTTTCATTTTTTTCTAAAGAGGTCAGTGATTCAGCATTAATACAGTTTAAAATATGAGTGGTATTTTCAGGGACTCCTCGGTGCACATGGATGTGAATGCTAATGAATACTTTTTTGAGATATTGAAAGAAATAACTGCCTAAATGTTCCATTTATCTGCATCACAGTCTCTCAAGAACACAGAAAAATAATTACTTACAAATGAAAAAAACAAAAAGGACTTTTTTCCCCAGTTCCACTAATACTTTCTTGGCACCATAAGGACCTCAGTGATTTTCATAGTCAATTTACAGGAACTAATCCTTACAGAGATGAATCATCAGCAATGCTAAATAATCTGTAAATTAGGGATTTACATTTTGTACCTCAATCTGAGGGGATGGCTATCTGGCAATGGAGTAGGCAAAGAGAGAACGAGAGTCCCAAAATGTAACAGATTAATTGTCACTTACCCTGTTCAAGCAGTATTTGCTCTCTTTCCCATAAAAGTGCTGGAGACATTTCATGTTCTGCTTGTCGACAATCTTGTTGAAGAACTCGTTGATGGTTCGCACGGAGACGGCGCAGACAGCAGATCTGTTGGTTGGTTCGGAAGAGTCTGGTTTGCTTTGTGCAAAAACGCCGTAGAGAATATCATCGTTCAACCCAAGGCCCATCTCGTGGGCCAGAGCAGCGCCTGGTTTGCTGACGTAGGCAGCTTGCAAAATGTTGAACACCTCCTTTCGGATGGACCTCTTCCTCCGCTTTTCAGTAAAAATACACTCAAGGGGCATTTCCATGTAAGAACGCATCTCTGAGTCTAAAGTGCAGAAGCGGATAATTCTGGTGTGAAAAGCTTGGGAGTCAAGAGATTCTCTCTGGACAGTCAGAAAATAGACAAAGTGATCATTTTCAAAAGCGTGGACATACCTAATGGGATACGAGTCGCGGAACTGAGGGAGGATATCTATATAAGACTGATCTGTGAGAAATTCAAAACCATCCTGTGTTTCTTTTAACCTTCTAACCGATATGGAATGCAGCACATGAGGAGGCTGAAACGTAGACGTTACAGTATTTCCAACAAAGAAGTTGACAAACCTGTCCTTTTCGGTCACCAAAACTTTGGTTCCTAAAGTGCTTACAACACAGTCAGGACAATTATCTGCTTCTCCATCCGCCCGGGGTGAATACATGCAGTGCACCTCGCTTTCGATGTCAGCAGGGTTGTCAGGGTGAATGATATGACGGTGGCAGATGCCTCCGGACACACTACCACAGCTGATGAGCTGATCATCATAATAAGTTTCTAAGAGCAGCGCCATGTTGACATTATCCTTCCATACGCTGTTAGATAAATTGGCTTTATCTTTGCAGTCTTCGCACGGCGCACAGTCAGGGTTCTCCAAAACGGGCCCAGTCTTGTACACAGAAATGTTCTGGAGAGTTTCATTTAGTACATAAATCTTGTTGACTGCTCCAATATAAACATGATGCTTGTATAAAACTACATTCTGAATCGGTGTTTCCGCAACGAAGTTAGGAAGATCGTATTTTATACTCAAATTCATCTCTGATTTTTTAGCTGCTTCTTTGCATTGTCCGTGGCTCCTCTGCAGCAAGGCAAACAGGAATATGATAAACCCAGAAGGATATGCAGTAAAAGGCTTCATTGTCAGAGATTTAATCTGTCAAAATATATTTAAAGGAAA